TGTAATTACCTCCGCCAGGAGGTTATGTAATCATCTGGGTTTGTATGTATGTGTGTGTGTGTGTGTGTGTGTGTGTGTGTGTGTGTGTGTGTGTGTGTGTGTGTATGTGTGTATGTGTGTGTGTGTGTTTGTCTGTGAGCACGATAACTCAAGAAATACCAAACATATCCGTACGAAATTTTGTGAGTGCATTTCCCATCGGCTAAGGAAGAACTGATTAAAATTTGGTTAAAAATTGAATGAGAAATAACAAAAGTTTGTCTTGCTTTTCCCGGTCAATTAAATAAAACTTTATACTGAATGCGTAATTAGGACGTGCATAATATATGCACCAGCCATTCAAATTTTAATAACAATAAATTACTTCAATATTTTGCGCGTAGGCGGAGGTATGCAGTCTCTGAGTGCCCTCTAGTTCTTATATATAGAATTATGTCTCCTTCCCTCGTTTACGTGGTATGGGGCTGCCCGCAGGCTAATAAAAGAGTACATTCAGCCTTAATTTTAGTATCTAAAAAATAATCAGATACATTTTTTATTTGGCATTAGTTAATGTTTTAAAACCGAGGTTGTAATTGATGTATACAAACAGACATAAATTGGAGGCTTTCAATTGAAGAATTTACTGATGAAGCTCTTCCTGCTCTGTCACTGCAGTGCGCTTTGATGTTAATGACCCTACTTTATTATTTTACTCCGATTGATCCGGCGACGTTGCTGGCCGGATACTCCGGTCCCGCGGATTAAACCTGGCAACCAATCAAAATGCCGTATTATCTCACATAAATTAAAATAATTAAATAACACCTGCATAAAAATTACAAAATGGAGGATAATTCAGAAGCTTTCTTGGGGTATTTACAAGAATTGGAAAGTACAACAGCTCCTTTGCTCAGCAATCATATAGCTTCAACTCTTCTGGTATTCACTTTTCTATTGTCTTTCCCTAAAATTTTTCTTATTCAAATGCTCTTTTTGTATCTTTCTTGTTTTCTTCTCCTTCGCTGGCAACGACGTAACAAAATAAGAAGGGCTTGTTCAGAATCGCTGCTTTTTGTAACGCGAAAATACGCGAAATAGTAATTTCAGAGACTGGAACAACCTCCATTTTTTCCTTTTCCGATCATTCCAGTTATCCTTTTATTGGATCGGATCGGAAAGGTCCGGAAAAGCCTCAGAGTCCGATCTACTGCTTATTTTCCGGAGTGGAAATTAGTCCCTGCCTTCCTGCCTTCTCTCCCTGCCTTCCTGTTTGGCAAATCACGTTGTTAGAAATACGTAACTAATCTTACCTATTGGATAAAAATCATTGTAAAGCTCATCGCGATGTCTTTCAGACATCAATCGACGACCTTGGTAAAATACTTGTATTGGAAATTCAGCGTAGTGGTGTAGAACTGAAATGACAAAAAGGAGGGCTATGAAAAGGGGGCGGGGTGACAAAATATGAAGGTAAGAAGGCATGGAGGGTGCAACATATTATTATTAGATAGATTTAGAAAACACGACGCGACGTCTAAAATGACGTGAAAATGACGTATGCACCTCGCTTTCACTTCGGGGTTAAATCTGGCCATAAAGTGCTATATAGAAGGGTTTCTGAAACACCGGCAACGTGATCAATAGTTATACCAGCGCCAAAAAAATCACCGCTATTTTTAAAGTCTGAATGCAAATCCGAGTACTGAACTTCATCCGACTGCATAAGATACTCTTAGCAGACATATCGTGAAAATTGCGAAGAAAACTTGCTGTTAAAAATCATTCAGGGATAGGTTTATCTATGTTATTTGTTTACTAGATAACTTTGTTCATCTAAGAGAATGCTAATATTGTATGCTAAAAATCAAATTATGTCGAAACGGTTAAATTAGAACCATTTTCAAAATCACGTGACCGGTGTTTCAATCCTTCTATTATTACTTTATCTATTATTAATTACGCTATTACCTCGCGCCCGCAACCTCCTCCGCAGGCCATACAGCCCGTAATGAATATGCCCGTTCGCAGGTCGAAGCTGCTGTATGGCCTGCTGAATTCAGTGAATTGACATGTCGATTACTTGGCTTATAGTGTCGATTACTCGGTTGGGTCAAATTTCTTCATAAATATTGCACATCGTCTGCCAATCTTTAGCAATCCTGTTTTGCGAGTATTTCTAAATACATCTTAGCAGTTATGGCTGGTAAAAGCGACGAGGAGAATCAAATAATGGAGGGTTTTACAAGCACAAGCGACAGTGATAATAAACGTTGTGAATCTGTCATTTGGCCAAATGAGGCCAAATGGGATGTTTTGACTATATACACACTCATTAAAATAATTACACTGTATAAAAGACAAATATAAATGGAATAAATTTCGTGGATAAACGGCCGCATGCCTGACATACGACGTGATCGAAATATAAAAGCGCTGCGTGTTTGTAATATGCAAATTATAAGCTGATATTTATCTGCTTCTCTTTATAAATCATTGTATGCCTGTTCGTTTAGTGTTCACTGTTTTTATGTATATTGCCGATACGAAAAGCGGTCTATAT